AGGTAGGTAGGTAGGTAGGTAGAGAGAGAGGTAGAAAGAGAGAGAGAGAGAGAGAGGGGGAGGGAGGGAGGGAGGGAGAGAGAGAGAGATGGATGGATGCTATTTCCTTTTTCTGGCCATATAGGTGGGACATATTGCCTTGAAGATCTGAATTTAACAAAATAATTTATCTTGTATACTTGGATTATTTAATACATCTCTTATGTTTTCCAACATTTTTAAAATAGTAAAGTGGGTGGCAAATAAAATACAATATCATGGCTCCTAATAACTACAGAAAGAAAGCAGAGATTCTTTAAAAAACAAAACAAAACTTAATAATGCAGCCATAAAAAAGGAAAAGTAGAAAAAAGTACTTTAAAAAGATTTACATATTGTGTATTTATTTATTTTTAAGCCTTAATAATATATATAATCTTACAGTAGCTATTTTAGTGGCCAGTAATTAACAAATTAGCAAAGATAATTAATAGCAGGAATTTTTAATTGGAATTAACAAATTTGGAGACCTATTCTTAGAGAAAAGCAGACAAGATGTACTATTTTAAAATCCAAACTTCGGAGGCAATGAGTGTCCATGTGTAGAATTATAATCTATTAATGATCCCTGTGGCAGCCATTATCATACCAAACAAATATGATATACTTTGTAGGGATAGGTTTAAAAAAAAAAAAAAAACGACTGGCAGGAAAGATTAGCCAAATTAAGGTGTGTTACATTTCTGCAGAAAGCAAAGTGAGAGATGTTTAACTGTTGCCCTCAGCTCCTTCCCCCTTTGCTTGGTTGAGAATGAGTATGAAATAAAGCCTTCTAAAATAGGAGTGTCTTCCTTTGGCCTAACAGGCAAAGCTTATGAAAAGATGCAATCAGATGTTGAATAGGCATTGATGTGTAAATATATGTCAACAATTGGAACAAAGGCTATGTTAAATTTCCTGTAAACTGCAAAGATCTCTGAAGTAGCAGTTTAAAGTCAGTTTTATAAGATTATAAATCAGTATTACCTGGAGGGCTACAAGTTTCTTTATTTTTGTGAAAGGTTTATGAAAAACTAATTCTCTGTCCCGCTTTTTAAAAAGAAAGATTGACTAGTATAGTTATTAACAGGTATTAAAATTAATAGCCCTCTAATTGCTACAATGTTCACTGAAGCTTGACGCTTTTAAAGTAATGAAATATTTTATATTTGGGATCCTTGGTGCTCTTTGAACTAGGTTTTCTTAATATTTCATAACCAAACTAAGTAACATCAGTCAAACTGCTGATGTTATCTAGTTTGGGAATGAAATGTCTGCAAGCTCAGAGAATCAAGGGCCCCATAGTTCAACCTCAACTATATTTTGTTCTGAACAGTGCAATTAAACATTGCAGTTTTTTAATGGTTGATATAGAAGGCTATACTGGGTTGTTTGGTACACAGTGCTCTAAAAATCAAGCTGCAAACCAGCAAAGACATATACGAGGAGTGCAGCTGTCTGGGCATTAGCTCCTTTCTAGAATTTATTTTTAGAAATTATCAAAAAGCTTTAACCACAACATGGTTTGCTATATATAAGAATGATTTAGAAAGAGAACACATAGAAATGTGTATGTGTGATACTAGGTGGCCCTTCAAATGATGTATCAGGAAATCAACTAAAAACATAATTGCTATTCTAAAACAGCCATCCCTTGCCCTTACGATCATTGTAGCATCTCCAATGTCACATGACCGTAATTCATGTGCTTGGCGATTATCATGTATTTATGGTGGATGCAGTGTCCCTGGGACATGTGATCACCATTCTCAGTCTTTCAAGGTATCTTTCAACAGCAAAGTGAAAGGGAGAAGCCAGCTTTGCTTAACGACTTGGTGATTCATTTCACAATTGGGAGTGATTTGCTTAAAAACATGGCAAAACAAGTTGTAAAACTAGGTGCAGTTTACTAAACAACCCCCTTGCTTAGCAATAGAAATTCTTGACCAAGTTGTAATCATAAGACTTCTTGTTCAGATTCAAATATTTTTTTTCCTGGTTCAAACAACTAATTCCAACCTTCCACTGTACGTCACAGAGAATTTCCTTTTTATTTTTCTGTAATGTAACAGAATGAAGGCAGATTCTCCTATACAGATTTCATGACAATTATTTGTAGACTCTTCAGATAATATAAATGTCTGCAAAGACCCACATAAGAAACAGTATGAGCAAGCTAGGGTAATGAGATTACTCAAATCAAGTTTATCTTGTCCTCAGAGACCCATCATCATGTTTATTAATTTTGCACAAGTCAATACTATGGATTTCGAACAAGGAACAAAAGCATGTCTTCAGCAGAATGTTGAACAATTCAGCTGTATTCCAAATAGAAGTGGTAGAAATACCTTCTCTTCATCGTCCACTAATTAGAATAATGGATTGTGCAGAGACATAAGTTGTAATTCACCATGCAAATCGTTACAAGAGGAGAGATCTCACTGGTTTTAATGTGCATAATGGAGCAAGACTAACAGCATCTGATTGTGGAGAAAATGCCAGGTCCATGTAATTGTTTTTTTTTCTTTATGATTTGCATTCAAGAATGGCCACTCTGATTCTCGGTCGATTTTAATAATTACCGTAAGATACTTGTTATCATAACTGTAATACTTCTTTCTCGGCACACATTTTGAAATGAGTCATTTTTAATGTTTCACATTCAAAGAGTAAAGTCTATGAAGGGTATATTTGTTTCTATCTTCAATTCAGAGATAAATGGAACCCTTTCCCTGCCCCGTAATAGTTAACGAACTATATTCTAAAATTGTACCATAGTGGTGTGATCTGGAATCACAATGTGACCCACCTGATGAACGTGTGACTCTCAATGTTCAGATCATCCATTTTTACCAATACTGTACAATGAATAATTTATTATTTAATACTAACGCTTTAATCAATGCAAAATAGCTACTGTGCTGATAAATGGTATTTAGAATTATGCACATACTTAGGGCCTTTCTAAATTTTCTCCCATTCTTCTGAATTGAATTGAAATGATCAATAGCTATTAGCAAAACTTTCACTTGAAACACAAATATATAATTAGGTATATCCATCTGCACATGCACCTCCAACACAGTTGTTAAGATGTTTGATGAAGACTCAGGAGGTCTAGAAAGCTGAACGGGGGTAACTCTAGGTCAGTTACTATCAATCAGCCCAAACTGCCAAACAGGAGTGTGGTGGAAAAAGGAGTGTCACATGACCTACCCTGAGTCTCTGGAGGGAAGGGAAGGTAGAAATCTAACAAGTAAATAAACTCTACTGAGAAAATTATGGATAAATCCACAGAGTGGTATACATTACCAACAATGACCCTATAACCTATTATTAAACTAAGGGATAACCAGAAAAAAGAGAATGCAAGCAAACCTGAGTCTTAAGAAACATTGGGAGTTGTAGATCACAATTTTGTGCCATTTGGGAAAAGGCAATAATCAACCAGCCGACTAGATTCAAAAGAAAGTTCTTTTGTTTATTATGTCCTCCTTGAAGTCAACACCTACCTTCAGTTTTTTGCCTTTGTAAGGGTTTTTCACATGTTCTTCAGCATCCATTATCAATTCTGTCAAGGTCCGGAACTTTCTCACCTGCAAGAATAAATAGTAAATAGTTGTAGTGAAGTAGGAAGAGAGACAAGAGAACGGTGTGATTATTGTGAACGCTGCTGGTTTAAACTGATATAATACATTATTTGTTGTATGATTCAATTGACAAGTAGGGTCTTTTGTCAACCTATTTTGTGCAAGGTTTAAGCAGAAGCTAGTAATAGTAGAAAAATTATTGTCCTGCCAATGGAAGAATTGTTTTTCTTTTCTTTATTTTACTGAACTGAAATGTATTCCTGCCTTTCATTTCCAAAAAAGTACATCTATGTTGAGATTATCACAATACTAAAATTTACCATGAATATTTGTAATGCAGTCAATTGAATAATAGATAGCTCTAATAATTATACTGGGAATTTGGAGGGACTAATCAATGTTCTGTGCTGCAACTAACATGCAGCTGCCAGTAACATATATTAATAAACCAATGCAAACTTTCCCAAAGTGATGTCCTCAATATATATTCACAACCATAAAGCTGATTGCAAATTCTAAGAATGACAGCTTGCAATGCATCTAGAAAATGCTAACTGCGAAAACAAGAACTAAAATTTGTTTTAAACCGTAAGGGAAAATGAGGAGGGAACGGATGCAAATTTGATGTAAGGTTAATTTTTGCTGTAGCTAATCCCCACAGAATGTAATCAGGGGACTGGGTCTTTTGTGTTTTGAAGAACTTCTATAATCCCATCTAGCACTCCTGCTAACAATAAGATAGGAGTTGTAGCTCCTCCACATTTCCTATAGCTTACTGAGCCCTGCTCTATATCATGGTTCAACAGGCAATCAAATATGGTCACCCACCATCTCTATAGTAATAGCAATGTACTTTTGTAGAGTTTGAAATTTAACATGCATTCCTCTGCCTATCTATTCAAACAGCAAGCCTCAGCCTTATCCCCAGGCAATTCAGTTTAGAATTGTAGCATGGATACAGTAAAGCAGTCAAAAGCAATAAGAAGGCTCACATGGGTCAAATAAAGACAGAAGAATATGCCTTGATTGGAGGAGAGAAAGAAGAGAAACAGTTTTAATGGTTCAAGAATATAAAAGTTATTGAAAGAGCAGCTCCTGAGACATAAATGGGGCAGCCTCTATAGGCAAACAGCACTGAAAACTTTTGCCATTTATAAAATTTATTTGCTGGTCGTCTTACCACAAGGTAATTCTTGCCCTCACACTGGAACTGTTACTTGATCAAATTAAATTAACCAATACAGCATATTTGTAAGGGAAATCATTATATGTAAAGTATCATTTCAGGTCAGAAATTGAGCTCAGAAAGCAAAAGATTACCTCATTGGAGATCTCAATCCATTTAATCTTGCACATATCACCAGAGAAGTCCTTGAAGGCCACTTTATCCCAATCCAAATGGGATTCTGTGGTTTTGAATTTGCTGCCGTCATTGGAGGGCAGATTATTTTTCATGCACTCCAAGAGGGTCAACATGTCTTCCTGGGTCCAACGGTCTGGAGGAAAAGCAAAAAAGGGGAAAAACATATTATGCATGAATTTAATATATGTTCCTGAGGAGCTATTTCCAAATTAGCGCTCTTCAAACGTCCTGGCATAGCAACCTAGTACCCTTCAAAGTCAGCATAACCTTTGGAATTCTGGGAAGTTTTACTACATTTCATATTTAAAAAGTTTTTAAAAAAATAGTAGTTAGCAGTAGTTTTCTTTTTATATTACAGGCAGCAGAGAAGCATCAAGCCTGGCAATTATGGTTGTTAAATTGTGATTAGCATGACCAGAACTTATTTTTACCACATTTATTGGGGGAGCAGTTGTTAAGTGAAGGCCATGGGCATTAAGTGAATCCATTGTTCACTAGGGATTTTTTTTTTGCTCAAAATAAACATCATTTTCTAAACGTAAATCATGGTCACATGACTGTGGAATACAACATATGGTCATAAATGCAGACTGGTTGTTTAGTGTCCAAAATGTAGTCTCGTAAAAGGGGGAGGGGGAGGGAAACCATTTTTTAAAAAAAATCATACCACATTCAGATAATAAATTTTAGAATAACCAAATGGGCTGCACAATTTGCAAAGCAGCTTTTAGATGTATTCATGGTTAACCATGATCAGAGTCACTATGTTTATTAAATGCAGACAAGAATAGAATGGCCAATGAGATGAAGTTGCTGTTAAAGCCAGCAGAATAGTGTTACACCTTGTTTGTGTGATTGTAGCAAATATCTCGAGATACATACATTTTTAAAGTTTTTTTTCCACATGTGTTATCTATTAGCAACAGTATTCAGCTGAGATTATTTTTAATGAAAGTAGTTAACATCTTTAAATATCAGTAACATTTATTTAAATATCAGAAAGTAATATTTATTTAAATATAAGTAATATTTATTTAAATATAAGTAAGTAATACTTATTTAAAAATCAGTAAAGTAGAATACTCAAGAAGTAGCAGCTGGGAGCATGACTCTGCATAATTTTCTACAGCAATGTTAGTTTTTCCAGGAGCATTCCTTCTCACCTTGATTTTTCGGGGCCGTCATTTCTAAATTGGTTGGACTATCTGCTTCTCCGTTCATCCTCCACCTCTCAGACCCAAGGGTGACACCTCCCGGGTCTCCCCCTTCCAGCTCCCTGTTTTCCCCCTTCAAATCAATTTTCACCCTGAAAAAGACAAACTGGAATAAGGAACCCTGCTTACCAAGCTACCTTCACAAAAAGCCAACATCACAAACATGGAGTTTGGGTTAGTAACTCCTGGAAATTATTACAAGAATTAAACTATTCTTAAACCTGGAACCTGTGAGCTATTCATACATTCAAGAGCAAATGGGAGCTGAAAGAGAAGACAAAGTACCCAAAATGTAGGGCTGAAAAGTTTTCTATAAAGTTGAAGAAATTACTAATGGCCTAAGATGAAAAGTCTAGAATTCTCTCTTAAGTATACTGTAATAGAATATGAAACTGCACTAGCTATAAGGGTGAATTCAAGTTAAATAAATTCTAAGGAGCAAAGGAAATGGGGTTTGGGGGGAAAAAACCTAATGATGCAGGTGAGGAAAACTACTTCAAGCACAATCCATTTTTCTGTTAAAGAACTAAACTAAACCAGAAGTGGAGAAGAGTTGGCAGATTACAGTAAAGAAAGGGAGGGAGGGAGGGACGGAACTCAAGGGAAATTGGCCCGCTAACTTAGTTCTAATGTAGTAACCAGAGATATCACTGGAACAGTTAAGCCGAATCCGCCTCAGAGTTAAAATCAGGGAAGAATAGAAAGACTTCTGGAGAAGACTAAAATACAAATTCCATCTATAGGCATAGAAGAAATAATAAAATTAATTTTAAAAATGCATATAAGTAACAATGAGAATCACAATTGAAAAGAAAAAAGCGACTGAGAGCCTTGGTATCAAAGCAGAATTATTACGAGTGAAATGCCAGCCAGCATTAATGAAGAAGGTAGTAGTAGTAGTTAAGGACCGGACCGGGTCTCTGGGCGAAAGAAATGAGAACGCGCAGATTTTCTTGGGACCACCGAGCGGATATTCTTTAAGAGAATGCAGCACGCAGCCTCAGGGTGGGCGGAGTAAAGGCGAATCGGGTGGGAGGGGTGGAGAGGAGGCAGGCCAGGCAAAGGGGAGGGATTTGCGGACCTTTCTTCTCTCCCTCCCCTTCCACCAGTTCTTCAGAGGCCGCACCATCGACAGCCAATCTCCGTCGCCGCCTTCCTGCAGCAGCAGAAGCGCAGCTGCTGCTTACCACCCTCCCCCTCTTCGCCTGTCTCCAGGCAGGCGGGAGAGCCGAGCCGAACCGACGGAACTGGTGGTGCAGCTGCTTCTGCTTCGCCTCCTTCCCCCCCGCCTCCTTCCTCTCCGCACGCCCTGCGGGCGCCACCGAAGGGGAAATCTAGCCGCCGCCGCCACCTCGCTTGCCTGATTTCGCTCCCACCCGTTTTTTTTTTCAACCCCAGTTCGGGCTCCAGCCTCCTGGCCCCGTTCCTTCGTTCCTCCCCGCCTTGACTCTCGAAGACGAGAAAGTCAGTGTTTCGCTACGATCTCGCCCCCGTCGACTCTCGACATTGCCAGCGTTCCTCGCCAACTTCAGTCGTCCTTCCAGGGAGGGGAAACATTTGAGATCGACGGATTCCAGGATCTTTTCCCTCCTTCCGCAGGATTTCGCTCCCTTCTGATTCGTTCTACTGGATTTCTACGGGATTTATTCAAGATCTACACATACACACAACTGCGTTAACAGAGATCACCCTCCGTTCCCCGCGGAATCCTCCCTTCGAAAACAATTCTAAGGAAACCAGCTTGTTTCCAAAGTCCAGAATTTCCCTTCATTAGAAGATCCCTTCCTTTATCTCAATAAATAAGACTCGCATCCCAGCCCAAGCCACGATCCCTAAAGAAGGCAGCTTTCGATACAGTAAATCGTTCGTTTATCCCCCTCCGGACAATCTAGCGGGGAAGGCGAGCTCCCGCTTTGTTCTCCGTCGATCGGACGGACGGACGGTGAAAGGTTTCCCTGGCCACTAAAGAACTTCGGTTCCCCCCAAACCCCTGTACCAGAGCGCGAAGCAGCGGATCCCGCTTCGTCGGCCGGGAGCCTAACAGTGTCCAGCGTGTTGCAGAGGAAAGGGGAGCAGCAAGCGAGTTCCGCGTCTCTCTTCTCTCCGTCGGTGCAACCTCGCCGAGGCGGTTAATAAGGATGAGACAAGCCCGCCTCGTTGTGGCGGCGGCAGTCGCGAGTGGGGAGGAGCAGGAGCCGGAGAGCCGCTGCAGCAGCAGCCCCATCGGAGCCGCTGGTGGAAGGGGGGCGGGGATGGCTGGCTGGCGGGAGGGAGAAATGAATGCCCGGCTGGGGGCGTCCAGGCAGAGCCGAGGGAGGGCAGCACGTCCTGGCTGCGGCAGCTACTGCCGCTGCCGCCTCCTCCTTTCCCTCTACCAGCGCCCAGACCCCCGGGGAGCGCCTCCCCCTGTGCGCCTAGGGCGCAGGGGAAGTCGGCGAGTCAAACCCCGTTAACCCGATTCTCCACACCCAACCGTAACGGGGGCCCCCCGAAAAAGCTTGCAGGGGAGGGACGCCGAGCTGTTCGCCTGCATGGAACCACCCTTTCGGATGGGGGAGTGCGCTGGCTCCAACCGGTCGACGGTCGAAAAGGCCGTCCTGGTGCCCGAACTCGCGAAGACCGCTCAACGCGGTAGAAGCGAGGGAAAGCAATAGGAACCCACCGCGGCAGATTCCGTAAAACTGAGGCGAAATGTTTTGTACGTAATTTATAAAGCCAATTGTGGGAAGGCGGGGGAAAAAACCAAGATTTTTCGTCCGCCGCATTTGGTTTCTTTCACGGTGCAGGCGACGGGGGAAAAGCTTACAAGACGACGGCTTGTTTCCACCGCTTCTTACCCTTCACGTCTGGCAGCGCCCTTTCGTTTCTAAAAGCAGCTCAGGCTGGAGCAGAAAAAGAGATCGGATCTCTGCGCCACAGCCTGCACCGCCTAGTGTTTCCATCTACCTCCGCCGCGACTCAACGGCGACTCGGGCAGCCACCGCCTTCAGATCTCGCCCTTCTATGGTCGAATGCCGCGGCGCGGCCTATCTAGAAGGCGCCCGGAAGGCAGGAAAGGGCCCCGATTCGATTGCCTCTGCCAAGGCTCCGTTCGGATTCCTTGGAGAAAATGCAACCCCAAATGCGTTTGCAAAAATATATATACATGCTAGTTTAAAGCATCAGTTGATAGGTTCGGGAGCATTAATATACCCGAACTCTCTAAAATGTGCTTGAAAAAAGGGAATATTAAAATTCGAAATTTTATTTCGTTCTTTTAATATATGCGTCCCGAAAAATTTGATTGAACCCTTGCTTTTTTAACCTTACCGAGGAAATTGAGATGCTGGGCGGAAAAAGCAGCAACGGGTGTTGATTGTGGTGGTGGTAGTGGTGCCGCCGCTGCCTCCCAGCCTGGCTGCGCTGCTTCACCGCCGGAGCCGAGGAGGTAACAAAAGCGCCTCCCTCCAGCCCCAGATGGTGGAGTACAACGTCGGGCTAATGGCGAGCTCCACATGCGCTCGTACTGCCGCAAAGCCAGCCCCGGCTGTAGGCAGCGGCGCCTCGGATCGTGCCTTCCCCCCCTCCCCCTGATCCGTCCTTGCCCACCCGCCCTTCTTTGCAACGGGGGCTCCATCCTGGAGTCGATCTGAGGGAAGATTTTTAGTCCCCTTCTACGTCTGCAACCTACCTGCAGATCGGAAGGACTTTGGAGAAAAGCTCCCCCTTTTCCCCCCTCTTCTTTCCTGGGCTTGCTTTAGCTGGGAAGCGTTGGTTGAATGCACGCCAGCTCTGCAGCGCTGGCCCCGGGCGTGGACTCGCTCCAGTCCCCGCAGAGAGCTCGCACTTCCCCCGCCTCCATCTCTCTGCTTTTTTCTTCCAATCAGCCGGTCTCTTCGGCTCTCGGATCCTTAGGCAACCTCACAGCCCTTCTTCACGAGTCCCCATTTTTCCCATCTGCTCCCTAGATGGGATTGATAAAAAGGAAACATGTTTCCAGGGCTTCGTTCTCGCTTTCTCTGTTTGATCTCACCAGGTTGTGGGTCTATCTTTCACGATTCTGGAGTGTGTATGTGTATGTGTTTTTATTGCTCTTTGCTTTTGCAACACTGTAGTCAAACGACGAGAGGGAGGAGGGGAAAGGAAAAGAGAGAGGAGGGGAGAAAACGCTTACATTTGCCACAAATCCTCTTCGTTTGGCGTTTGTAAAACGAGCACAAATCACACGCACTCGATTTTAATTCCTCCTGTGACCTCCCCTTTCTTCATCTCCCTTTCAAACGATCGTATCGAAAGAACCAGGGTGGGGAGAATTTCAAAATTACAACCCGGAGAGCGCTAGTTGTTGCAACGCCATCAAATTATTTCTGAGGGCAGACATTTTTTTGGCAAGAAGTGAGCTTTTTTTTTTTAAAGGTCCCACTTTGCCTTATAAACAACGGGGGCGGGAAGGGAAGGCTGTAACTCTTTGTGTCCCGTCGGATTTTATTGACAATTGGTTTGGGATTGGATTCTAAATCATGGCGTGAACATGACATTCGTGTAGATTTTAGTCAAAAGCCGAGCTTCTCCTCCCCCACACGCTTTTCGCTCGTTCTCTCTCTCTCTCTCTCTCTTTCTTTTTTTAAATCCATTTTTTCCAGCTCCACCTTGTTGTTAAGGGCGTCATCTGCTATAGAGCCAATCACCTTCTTCTGGAGTTGCCTGTCAAATTAAAGCCGATTCTAATACGCAAACGCGACTTTTATAGACCTGCCAAAATGCAATTAGAAATTATGAGGGATGGGAGGGGGAGGTGACCGAGGATTGGGAGATAAGCTAAAAATAGTGAATACGTTGCCTCTACATACAAACAAGCAAAGATGAACGAGCGTATGTTGGTTTATTTTCCCTTTGTGCTTTGCCAGTAGAAAGAAATGGAAAATAATTCTCCAGGCCCTGTTCTCCTTCCTCTCCACCATATAGAGGACATTTGAGTATGTATGTGGGGGTATGTGCTGAGGGGGAACGGAATCCTACAGCACCAAAATATATGAATCATGTTTATGAGTGAAATGAAAGAAAATCATGAAGTAAAGCTATTATTCACTATCATCCACATTATAGATCTTACATGCATTTAGAAGAACACCATTTTGGATTTCAAACAATTTTATGGGAAGAATTTCTTCCTCTGTAGTGATAATTGTATATATTTTCTTTTTTGGCTTTCTACAATTGTTGGAACTGAAATTAGAGAAATTTTAAACATTTTTATATTTTGGGTTTGTAGTTATTATGTGGATATTTACTTGCAAGAATTAAATATCACTGTATTTAGTAGAAAGATATATAAAATGTTTATTTATTCCATATATGAAGAAGAAAAAGGAAGAATTACATCTATGAAATTATAAATGGATTTTCTTAATTTTACATGGTGTTTACATTGATACACTCGAAGACATTTGCTAGTGATGTCAACCACAGTTCACATCTGTCTCCTTAATAGTACTATAGCAGTTTCGGACTGGACATCTGTGTGTGTCATGTGTATATCTGTGTGAATGTGTGTATATCCCAATTTTTAAAAAAATCTTAAAGTAGCTTACAATAAAAATTAAAATAACACTTGAAACAATTAAAACATACATTAAAGCATTTTTTAAAATTTGTAGAATAAAATTAAATAGCAAATCCATTATAAAGTAGAAACTGCAATAGGAAAAATAATCTTACCAGTAGCAGATTATATTTTGCCTACTGATATTTTGCAGGGAGGCAGTTACCTGTTGCAAAAGAAAGGGTACTTTCTTTTGCAATACTGGATACTACCAACAAATTACAGGTCATATGTGATTCCATAGACAAAGAACACAATTCCAGATCTAGTGTTGTTTTGCAAACCTGTGTCACAAATAAAGATCTAAAATATGAATCCTCGTGGATTTTAATGGTTTTTAAACAGTCCAAAAGTCAGCAAAAATAACTGGTTGCTTCTGTTTTCATTGATATTTTGTGTTCCTGTAGCTGGACAGTTCCTGGAAAATTATGTCCAAGGTACAAATACACATAGATCTTCACAATTCTATATGACATTTGTCTGAAACCACTGTCCATATCGATAGATGACAGCACTTTTTGAAGCTGTCACAATACCAAAATACCTATCCCAAGAACATATCCTTGTTAACTTTCAATATAATTATACTGCTCTAATTCAAAATTCAGAAAAATCACAGATCATATCTGGACAACCGAACTATCTGTTTATTTTTGACAATTCTATGATGCAGAGCATAATGTAGAAATTAGTAATTTCTGACATAAAGCTATGTCCGGTTACAAGAAGAATCATAAAATTATGGTTTGGTTATTTAGAGTGCTATCTAGTAGAAAAAACCCATAGATTTAAGCATGGGTATTTACAAAAGGATTTTTTTATTTATGTTGATAAACCATATCTTTATGCTTCCTTTTTGAACCACTTGCCATAAGCATGATTCCTAATTCTTCCTAATATCCAGGTATTTGGGCCTCAGCAGCAAATTAAAAAAAATAGTTGATTGTCCTAGTACAACATATGGATGTAGTTGCAAGTTGTTATTTGATCATCATTTTGAGTCTTCATTTGCAGTTATCCACTCTATAAATTTTATGACGTTATTCTACTATGGGGACACTGCGAAATGCAAAATTCTTTAAACTGAGAATCTGCAGTGATCCATATCTGGCTTTTGATTAAGATGACTCCATGAAATACATACATACATGATGTGCAATTTTAGATTGTTCATGAATACACATGATGATTTGAGCAATCTATTGATCTGAATTTTTAATGCATGGAGGATATTTGATAGAAGCTTCACTTGGCTCTGATGGAACAATGAATTACATTTCATAGTCAATGTTTTCACATTTTAATAGTATCTAATTCTTAATAGCATTTGATACATTTGCTCATTCTTAGTATTGGGATATTGGGAATTATATTTCTACAGAAATGGAAGCCACACATGGGGGTGATGGAAGGCTGAATTAGTAGATCTCGGTAAATTACAAAAATTATATTCTTGGTGACTTTGTGAGCAGCACATTCTAAGAATTCATATGCGATCAAGCTAAAATCTGAGGCACTTTAGTTGCATCTAATGTTGTTGGAGGCAATTGAATTAAAACCCTTGTCTTTATTAAGATTGAACATCCATGTTTAAGTTCTGGTCTAGAAATGTACCCAACTGATGTTTTCAAAGGGAAGTATAGACAATGAAGGTTGAGTCTTGATTCTCAGATTAATTCCATTGAACAAGAATTAGTAGTATACATTCTACCATTTCCAAGCAATTATCAGAACATTCTTATTTTTTATAAATAACTCTGACAGTGAGCATACCTAATACTCCTTTCTCCTCCTGATTTCCTCGCAACAACCCTGTGAGTTGAGCTCAGAGAAAGTGATTGGCTCAAAGTCACCCAACCAGCTTTTCATAAAGTGGGCCTGAAACTCATAGTGTCCTGATATCCTGCTCAGAATAAGTAGAAACTGAATTATGTATGATTTATATAATGGTGATATATTGGTCTCTTCAATGATTATATATATGTAAGCTAATATTTAAATATTTAAAACTATATTTGTACAACATGCAAAGTTAAAATGTGATTAATTGGATTAATTCATCCTTATGGATACATTCAACAAAGATGGTTCTTTTTTCTTCAGTCTGAATCTCTTCTAGATGTGTGGATTTCACCTCCCAATGTTCCCCAGGTACTGTGGCCTCTGGTGAGATTACTGGGAATTAAAGACTATATGTGGATGCCATGGGATTGGAGAATGGTAGGTTATTATGGAGTATAAACATAACTATTGAATAACATGAGGTTAAAACAGAATCTTGTGAAAATTTTGCAATCTAGAGGGCATGTTTTTAATTTTTAGCAATATCAAGGGAACATGATTAAAAAAACTAAGGCAGCTTGGGGAAAGGAAAGTTCAGTTTAATTACTATATTATAGTTCACAAATCCAACATACATATTTAGACAAGTAGTTTAAATACAATAAAATAAGATTAAAAGGAAATAAAAGAAAAAGAGGGGGAAAGACTATATAATAAAAGGCCATGAAAATGCTATAACACTGTAGTGCTTTATGCAGTGCCCAGGAAACTATACCCTCCAAAAAATCAGCCTAGAATTAATTGGTCATTAATAACACATATGTTCTACAGGTTGCAAATGTAAATTTTGCAATAGCTTGTGTGTTATTTTTACTTTTTATCTGCCAGATTTTTTTTACATAAAGTTCATTTGGAGTGTCCAGAGAATGGTCTATTGAGATGTCTGTAGAGGTTATAGGAGAATGACATATAGGCCAATGATTCAATATCCACAGAGCAAAAGGACTAATTCCTTTTTCCACAGGAAATGTTTTGAAATTTATTTCTAATATAACATAGCAAGATGTCAAAATGCAGTAGCATTAAAAACCTACAAAATTTATTAGCTAAGCTGGTTAAAATATATTTGGCTAATTTGAAATAGAACTTCTAATCTAAAATTGGGTTATAACCTAATTTTATATCTTCTGATATTTTGTCATATTCAGTTTGCAATTCCATGCTAAGGATTCTTTGCTTAAGAATAGTCTTGTCTCTCTTCTTGTCCCAATGAGGGCAGTACTTTGTTATGAAAATTCCAATTTCTGTATTTTATCTTCAATTTTTAGTTTTTAGGTATAGCAGATAGAAATTAGTCAAACAAAATAAAAATGATCAAGACTTGGGAAACAGAATTACCCGTGAGGACATTAGTTCCTATACTCATCCTCCAAAGCCCAGTTAGATACCAAAGATTAAGATTTAAAATGTTTATCTCACAGGATCAATTAGAACTGGATTTCTAGAGTGAACTAACACCAGCCTAAGAACATATTACAAATCCTCCAAGGCCAGAGGTGGTATAATCATTCTGGATTTCTTCATGGGCTTTGATATCTTGATCTATCTACTAGGATTGAAATGGGAGGCACAGTTTTGGCGTGATTTACTTTTCTTTGGGATCAGTTCCAGCAGACGGAAGAGAGAAAAATGAGTTCAAAGCTCCTACATTATATCTACATGAAGCTGCTGGATGAAGTCATGCATAGCATGGGGAACCTCTATAAAGGTCAGCCCTTTGAGTAGATCAGATCAGGAAACGGTAGCAGCAAGAAATATTAGAATACTATTTTATTGATATAGGTCATAATAACTGTATCTTGATTCCTGTCTGACTAAGTTATGCAGCCTAAGTTTTGTCTCATTGCTTAGAGACAATTGGAGTAGGTAGGTAGGTAGAGAGAAGAGAATTTAAGCTCAATCTTGGCAAGATGGGGGAGAGTTGAGATGCCAGGATCATCCAGACTTGCGATGGTCGACCTTTTTTTTCTGAATGTGGTTGCACCGGGTGTGCAATTGTCAGCCCTTCAAGGTAGTCTGGTCTAGGATACCAAAATACAAATATTAATACTACTTTTATTATAAGGTAACAGTAATAGAATCTAACTCCCGCTCCCTTTATCTTCATGACAGTTAGAATGGTCATGTCTGAGATACTTTCTCAAATTTTTTTTTTTTTATCTGACTATACTTTTGATTGCATATTTTCCTTCAGTTCCTGAGAGTTATTCCTTTTGCTCATTATAGCAGTTTGGGACTCTTCCTGGACTTGATCAAAGAGGAAGTGGCATTTGTGACCAGGAACATTCATTTCAGGCACTAATTGTATTCATTCCTAAATTGAAGGCTCTTCTCACAATTAATTTTGTCTTCATCACCTTGCGTTTGGGACTATTGCAATGTGTTCAAAGGGTTGCTCTTAAAAACCATTTAGAAGCTTCAACTAGTCCAGAATTCAGTGGCATGAGAAGTTATAGGTAAGCAATGATATGCTTTCTTAACATCTCTTCAACACTAGCTGTACTAGTAACCATAGATGTCAGATACAGTTCCTCAAAATCTTTATTATGGCCTTTAATCTAAAAAGTGCTGTGTAGAAACTCATGCACATAAAATTATTATTTAAAAGTTAGCATAAAACACAAGTGTTAATAAAATTAATCTAATAATATTAATTAACAGTGGAAATTACCAAGATTAGCATTAATCTTCAGTCACATGTGGGATAAAAGGACAGAATTAGGCAACCTGCAAAGATACAGGTTGGATAGAGAAGTGACAGACAAATAAGCATTGTGATATCTACTGGGTTCATTCTTTAAAATAGAGTAGAGCTGAGATTGCGAACCAATGGCACGCCTGCCCAAAGTAGCAAGTCAAGACATGTCACCCAGCCATGCACGATGATCAGCTGTCCTTCACAGTCGTGGCAGTGCTGAAAATCAGTGTGGGCATGTGTGCCAGCCAGTTGATTGTTAGGTGTGCATGTGCTCCAGAACCTGGAAGTTCAGCTTTTCCAGAGTGTGATCCTTCACGCGCGTGGCAGTGCTGAAAACCGGACATGTGCACTGGCCAGCTGATTGTCGGCGGTGCCTGCATGCTAGAATCCAGAATTTTGGCTTTTCCAGAGCGCAGCCCCGACAAGCATGCATGCGACATTTCCGCACAACCTTTTCGGCACTTGGCACTGGAGTAGAGTCTGCTTTGGAAGAATAAGAAGAACTATGATAATGTAAATGATGGTAATAGTAATTCCAAGGGACAGAATTGAGTGGATACCAGTTTAGGGCAGAATATATAGTGTTCTCTATTTCTTTTTCTCCACAACCACAACCCTATAAGACAGGTTGGACTGAGAAGCATGAGTGGTCTAAAGTCACTCAGTGAGCTTCCATGATTGAAAGTAGATTTTAATCTGACTGTCCCTGGTGCCAAACCTACACCTTAATTGTTATCCCCACGTTGTCCCTCTGGCCTGACTTTACCCAGCAAGCTTTGTGACTACGACTGAATACGAACCTTATTTAAAGAGCTATACCAATGACAACACAGATATTCTGGCATTTGTATGCTAATTAATATATGTAGTGGAATTAAAAATTTATCCAGGAGCTAAAGATCTTGATAAACTGCAATTTTGTAACTTCATATTGGATTTTTCTTTTAAATTCCTTTGCTCAAGGATGGCTAATTTAAGATCAATAGGTGAATGTTTTGGGGAGTGGAAATGTTTTTTTCCACTGTTTTTGAAAATTTATCAGTTTTATTTTTATTTTATTTTATCCAGTAAGTTTTGTGACCGAGGCTGAATATGAACCTTATTCACAGAGAAATGTTAATGACAAGACAGATGGAATTATCAGATGTATGTTAATCTTATTTGTATTGTAAAAGAGTACTTTCTGGATAGCCAGGTATCAATTCATTCTGATACCTACTTTGATACTGACTAGTGCTGGATTAAATAGTATCAATCTCTGTATGAGAGTTTGTTACATGTAGTGTCATCGGGTATTCAAACAAAATATTTTAGAATGTTAATACCAACATTGGTAGATGGAGATATTTATATCACTAACTTTTAAAAGCTGAAAAATATCTTAAAGTTATTTCACAATCTTGGCCAGCTTTATGTCAAACCTACTCTAAATAAAGTACAAAAAGGATTGCAAAACAGCATCCTAATTGTGTCCTAATGGACACAATTACATTTGCATGCTTTGTGCTTTTCAGATTATTCATTTGCCATTATATCGACTTGAACATGCACTCTTATAAATGCTTAGTCACATCCCTTCTCGGGTTTTTTTGGTTAGAGGTATCATTTCAGTCATTTCACTTCTCTCAGTTCCTCCATGAATCAAGGAGCTGCATAAGATTGGGGGCTTGGAAGAGATTTTCCTGGAATAACTTCATCCAGCACTCATGGCCCTTCTGTGTTTTACAGTTCCACCAATTTTCCCCCATCACCTTTATAGTCCCAGAAACTAGGGAGGCTCTCTCCTGAGATGTCTGCCACATTGCTTTTGTGGACTAAACTGCCTCTTACCTGACCATTGGCTTGTCTGCAACTCCTCTTCCTTCTGTCTCTCAAGGATATTCTCACAGATCATTATAAAGGGACAATGCCAGGTAGCTAGACTGTCAGTGTACCATCAAGTGCCAACCTGGTGGTGGTGTTTTCTAGTTCCATACATAGTCATGACAACTTGTTGATGTACACCAGTTCCATTACATATGCCATTTACTAAGCCAACTTTGCCCTCTCCAATGGTATATGGTAATGACTATGGGAGACGGGTGTGGGAGGGAGAGTCACAGTCAGAGAATAGTCAGATAAGAAATATCTTCTGTAGAAGGAATGTGGGCATTCTTTCTGAAGTGAATTCAAATGCTTAATTTAAACCACAGCCTCATTTATGCCCAACTCGCTGCTCTATTCCATAAAGGTAAGAAGCTTTCTGCCTAAACTGAATACAATACCTTTTTCAAGTTCCAGAGTTAGCTTTAGTAATGAAATTCAACACTGTTTTTTTTTCTATAGTGGGACCAGTATTGTGAAAGAAACTAGATTGAACTGGATTAATGAAGAAACTTATTTCTTCATTAAAATAGTTCTGGACGAGCTTCAAAACGTATTTTTCCACCTACATTTTTAGGATTTAGATGTTTTTAAAATACTTTATGGGTTTTTCAATTTTTATATATTTTTAATTTATCCAGGGGGAATGTGGGAAGATACAGTCTATAAATTTGTATAATAACTAAACAATGACTTGACACACAATCAATGTGATGGAGATTGCGTTCTATGGTGTTACATAGACATACAACTTGTCGCAAGAAATATGTGGCAGGGTTGGCACAAATTTAAATAATTTGTTGTAAAAAGAAAAATG